AGCAATCGAACCGAGTTCGGCTCAGCTTGTAAATTACGAGTACTCGCACACTCCTACTGTATACGTCTATTATTTACCAATTACAGAAAATGAAGTTATGTAGAATAACGCTCGGTCTTTCATAACTAATTGAACTGCATTAAAATCAAAATCCGATAACAAAAACTAATCTTATATATTAAAGTAACTTCTTAATATTAATTAACTTTTTTAATGTTCCGTTGCAAAATCATTCCTTGAAAATATTTCATGGATCCATATAAAATCTTTATTTGGATAATACATATCAAGTAACAAATTAATAGTAAAAACTATATTAATATACAAATCGTAGTTACTTATAATAATATTGTTGCGTGGACGCAGCATGACTTCCGAATAAATAAAGGCAATATCAATAAAAAGGAAGAATTATTTATTTGGAGAGGAGCAGTACTTATCTTAACACGTCTTTTCCATTCTATAGTCGTATCACGACTCTGCTCTGTCTCTGTTTTGGCGTTGTTACCAAAACGACGTCGCTAACCTGAAGTCTCTCTCGCTTTAACATTATACAATACGTGCTACCTATCGGGTAACCCGTAACAATATTTTGCTCCGTGTATATTTAAATAAATAAAGGTATTTTATATTTTCGTACAAAATAAAATTGTTTATACCATCCTTTAAACAATGGAACGCATTATTTTTAACTTATTCACTACGTTTTGGCAATAAAAATTGCATAAAAATGCACAAGTGTTTAAATGAAGATTCTTGTATGTATTTTATATCGTTAGCACGTCAACAGTGCGATTATGAAGTTCAAATTATTTCCGTCAAAATTAAATTATTTTGATTTCAGGAAGAAACGTGTGCGGGTGACAGTTTTATAATTGAATCGCGTTGATTATTTTTCTGTGATTCCGTATAGATAGATTGTACGTGAACCTACGCCGGATGATCTGTGAAAATATCCAATCCTTCCCATAGAATCAACTAATTAAGACATAAAATCGTGAAAGATAAATCTCTAATCTGTGTTATTCTCTATAATATATTTTATACCGTGTTATACTATACAAATATTAGAGACATTTAGTAAATTGCAATTTATCATACGTTTATGTTACTATTTTTGAAACGTATATTTGTGTTGCGTATGCAGGAAAATCATGTTGATATGTCTGTAACTATTGATTTTAGAAGATATAAGTTTACATGTATAATTAATATAACAGTTTATAAGCATATAAGAATTACCTCCAGTTTTTAAATGAGAAACTTTCGGTATACAAGAAACTAGATAATGATCAAACAAGTTCTGAAGAGCATGAGTGTTGCATTGTCTGAATATACCTTTTCTCGAACGTTTACATCTCTCTATTAATTCAGATAATGGATGTTCTAATGTTTCTTTTCAAATATTCAGCTTGTACACTACCGCTAAAAAATTTAGAATCATTTCTAATACGTAAAATAAGACAACATATTGGATAAACAGTCTATTTGTTATCTAAAACTGTAATTTTTTGTAAGATCTGGATGAATTTTGCTTTACAAGTATTCCTAATAATTTTGTTCTAAACTCTAAACAAATACACCGTTCACAAGTATCACACTATATGTATGTTAGGTTCATAACACAACTAACTATATCTGAGTCTCAACTTTTGCAAAATTATTTATCTATTACATACGTATAAAAGTCTTTATTTGTTTTTGCACTTATTATATTTTCACCACCCTGACCAAAATATTGAAAATATTATTTGAGAAAATCTTACAAACGCATTTTGTTTGAATAGAAACAACAACTTCCAATTACGCTGCCCAACAAGAAAAATTAAGTTTTCATCGCCTGAGATATTATACGTAATTCTTATAGTTGTTCTTGTACGGAATTCAATTATATATTTGGATCTCTTCTGCCAGACATTGCTCATTTACTGCTCTAAGATTTTTAAAGAAAAAGTTTATTCATTTTAAGGTTCAGTTAGAACTTTTTACACCCAATGCAGTAATAAACTCAAAACATTTAAGGGATAATCACTTTAAAAATCATGTGCAATATTTTCAAAATGCTGACTGAAGTTTTTCATTTAATTTACAAAAATGCATATGTACAGACTCCTCTCGATTATAGTCCCGAACTCGGGTCCGCGCCGGGACAATAAGCTTATAGGGAGAAATGTGTCAGACTCTCGTAAATTCGATTTCTGAAAAACGTTTAGATAGATGATTATTTAGAAGTTTGGGCTTCTCGTTGATTTCAATGTGGCGAAAGTCAAAAACACGATATTCATATACATTTCACACTAAATACAAATTCCCCCTTTTCAAGTGGAATCAATCAGATTATTGTTACGAGCCGAGGGCTAAAGGCAGCTTTTGCCGTAGCCGAGTTAAGGTAGCGTGTTAGAAGCGGACGAATCAATGCTTATTTCATCATTGGGAGCCGCTGGAATGACAGAAAGTCGCGGACGAACCGGTGTTTATTTCACCACCGGGAGTCTCTTAAGACACGGACGAACCGGTGCTTATTTCACCACCGGGAGTCACTTAGGACACGGACGAACCAGTGCTTATTTTATCACCAGGAGCCGCACAGATTGGTAGGAGAATCGTAGTCAAACCTGAGCTTATTTCATTACAGGGAGCCACTAGGTTTTTTGGTTAAAGTCGTGGACGAACAATTCTATGTTTATAAAATAAGTAATATAAATATATTCAAAATTAGTCGTAGGATTTTACAAACGTTTGAGTTATATAATTCCTTCCCCGATGTTCACGCGAGAGAGAGAGAGAGAGAGAGAGAGAGAGAGAGAGAGAGAGAGAGAGAGAGAGAGAGAGCGGGGTCGCGTTAAAGTAATACCTAACAGTAAATTTACGTACTGTATGGTTATGAATGCTTGAGGGGGATTAACCCGATCTTGCTAATACGTCTCTCGTCTATGGAAGTCAGACTCGAAATGGGACCGTCGAGGATACATTCGTCGCCCTTTATATGTATACTTGTAAATCGGTCTGAAAGTCACGTATGCATCCTCTCATCGGAACTGTAATTCCTGGCAAATCTAGATCGTTGCATCAGAACGGAAGTAACGATTTTTATCTAAGCCTGTACATACCAGCGTCCAAGATAGGGTTAAGGGTTAAAAAGAAAGCCTTCTTTGTTGTTGGCGTACGTGACATTATTATGAAAGAATGTTACTTTTTTTCTTGATCTGTCTCTAACTAACTGCGATCAGTATAATACTTTAGAGTTGATTAGAAACAGTTCCACAAAAACATACCACTGTTCTCTTTAATTTTTTATTACATAACATTTGATAACTGAAACTTCTGAAAGTGACTCATACGACGTTGACAACGTATGTCAAGGTCAAGGTCATCAGTCATTTTACTTATCAGTACTACTAAAGTACGACACTAAACTTCTTTTGATACTAACTTTTTTACAAACGGCTAGCCCCAACTAAAACCTTCAAAATACTACTCATGCTAATGATCTTGACAACATATTAAAAAATCATCAAAATCAGAGGTGGCTCCCTTACTCTAAATATTTACCAAACATTGTTCTGTAGTGTTAGATAGTTGTTCAGTGTCTTAAGTATTAGTAGACAGTGAATTGTTATGTAAAATAATACATGTATAATCAAGTATAGTAGGGCCCTTGTATCCGAACTAACAGTTAAATATAAAATTTTTGAGATATCAAGGTTAAACTGTACTAAAAGCTACAAACACCGACTTGTATTTCACATGACAAATTCTACTAATAAGGTAACTAACTGAACAAAAATCATTTCCAATTTCCAAGCGGAAATGGTGTACGTATATGTACGCCGTTTCTCTGGTCAGGGTTCATGTCATCAATTTTCGCAATAATGGTTCAATGTAAAGTAGGACATAAAACAAAAGAATATAGCAGCTCGTTCCTTCGAAGAGAGGCCTAGTTCCCAAAATGTTGTGTACAGCGATTTAAAAAGGTATCTAAAGTCCATATACAAAAGCAGACTAGCAAACACTATTAGATAAGTACACGTCAAAATATCAAACACATGGAAGTGATATCGGATGGCAAAAGTTCCCAAGCACCCTTAATCACCAGTGCATCACCGAAACACTAATTAGTACAGTCAGAATATGCCACATTGCTTTAACACACTCACATCTACTAAACAATTAGGAACCACTAATATGTGAACAATATAAAACACCGATCATCATTAATCACATATTACTAGAATGCATAAAGTACGATCGTGCTAGAAGAATCTCAAAGTTACCTAAAGATACAACAACTATCCTTAAGTCGGATGAATATTTATCAAACCTCACTCAATTCTTACAGATCGCAAAACTATACCAGAACGTATGACTCAATGTATAATAGTAACCAACAAACAAAAAGAAATATCTATGACTTCTCTACCGAGATAGTATACATGAATGTACCACGTTGCTAATGACCTTGGCTGTTAAAGCAGCGTTAAAAATGTAAATAAAAACAAAAAAAGCATATAGACATAATGAAATCTATTATTCAACTGGTATTTTTTATTGTATTGAATTACCTTACTATTATTATGACTGATAAAGTAACGAAAAATAATGTTTACTTATTTTTTATTCGATTAATACATTAGAGAATGATCTAAATGGTTAGAAATATATTGCAGAAATGACGTGTTGAGGTTAATAACAATCGAAGTCCGCTAGTGCCAAACTTCATTTCTGTTTTAATTCATCCCGTACATGTAGTTAATTAAGTTGCACCTACTTCTAGAGGCTAAAAATAATCCCCTAAAAGTTGAAAAGAAAATTTTTAAGAAATCAAGGTTAAATTGTACTAAAAACTATAAACACCAACTCCTATTTCACACGCAAAATTCTACTAATTATTTAAGCAACAGAATAAATATAATTTGTAACTTCCAAGCGGGTGGTGTACGTATACACCGTTTCCCTGGTCAGAATTCATGTCATCAATTTTTCCGTTTTCTGCCCGACAGTGCCACCGGATATCGTTTACGGGGGCGACACCAGCGCCGACTTGGCAGTTCCGGAGGGCGACAACGCGACTCTAATCTGCCGTGCGACGGGACGACCGACTCCGAGAGTGTCCTGGCGAAGGGAAGACGGTGAACCCATTCTTATAAGGGCCTCTTCTGCCGGTACATAATGACACTATAAAACCCGCGGATATCTCCGCGGACAGACCTCCTTTCACTTGGCCTGCTGTGCCTTCGTGGAAAAGGCAGAGGGACGAGACGGTGGTTTAATTTCGTTTGCCACCCATTACTCTCTTTGTTCGTGTTTCCGTTTGCTACCCCCTACCCCCATCCCCTACATCCCTCCGTAGTTCTCTGAAGCCCCGCGAACCGAGCTTTATTACAATACTCATAACCGGTAATCGTTGCCTTGACGCTTTATGTCACCTGACATCGGGCACAGAATGCGAAATGTGGCAACATCTGCGGTGCCCCTTTTTTCATGGCTTCCCAATGAACCCATGCTATTTCTTTACTTTTTTTTTATGTCGCGTTGTACCTTCAATTGCGGAGCCCGTAATACTTTACGCTTTTAATATCGAAACCGTACGCAACCACGCCGCACAGTGGTCCAGAATCAAAATTTTGGCAGCTCAAATGGTCAAAAAGAATTTCTTTTGTTTCCTAAAGAAGAACTTACATTAACTTATTATTAACGAAGATTTATTCCATGCATTATTATTCTGCTCAGACCATTTCTGGTCGTCGATTTCAGTGAAACTTAGAAAAAGGTCCCTAAAAATTCATACATTCAACGAACACGTTGAGAATACTGACAGAGAACGATAACGTTATCGAAGAGGATCCCTCAAGTCGATAAACATTTGTTCACTTATAATCTGCTTTCTTTTACTTAAATCGAATTACAAGTTTCAAAATTTGTTGATTGTGCTTGAGCTAAATAAGCGTATGAGCGGTTAAATGTTGATCCTGTACTGCGCACAGTGGTCCTAAATCAAGATTTAGTGATTCAGCATCAGTAAAAGTAACTTTTTTAAAAGTTTAAAAGAAGTATCATTGGAGATGTCCAGATATATCTTATAATGTTGGCAGTAATGGTTCAGCGTTTGGTTTTTAAGTGTTGTCTTTAATTGTTGTTATTCAACTGCTACTCCAATTCTGTATTATATTGAATTACCTTGCTATTATTATGACTGATGAAGTTACGAAAACTAATGTTTATTTATTTTTTATTAAATTAATACATTAGAAAATGGTCTAGTTAGAAATGTATCGTAGAAATGATGCGTTAAGATTAATAACAATTGAATCCCGCTAATGCCCGACTACATTGTTGTTTTAATTTATGCCTTACATCTAGTTAATTAAATTACAACTATTTCTGAGTGCGTATTTTTTTAGCAGGTGTACAAAAATATTTGTCTTTTGTAGATTCGATCAGTGTAAATATGTGAGACATTTTTAAAACTTGGCATGATAATCTTTCGGGACAAGATAGATCAGCAGTGATTTGTTCATGTATTGATGAGAAATTTAAAAACGATTCAATTGGAATTAATAATAATTATTTTAGACATCGTCGAAAAATGAAAAAATTGTGATTGATCTTGCTTCAAATTTAAAAAAAGAAAAATTAAATTTGGTTCGATAAAGACACTGAGATTCATGTGTCTCTAACTAACTGAACTGAACGACAGTGCTTCATGCTTCATGGAAACACGTCGCGTCGCGCGGTTACGTTTTCAATATCATACCGTGCGAATTGTTGATGATCCGCTTTTACGTTTCATGACTTTTGTCTAAATGTATTTAACGATGGCGTGTGTTCGAGTACAGATAACGATTATCTTCGCTGTGTAGGTGGAACATGAGAATGTTCGCACGTCCTTTCAGCTTCAGAGTATTATTACTATTTCACAGGAATCATAATGGTTTTCGTTATCAGATGCAGTTACTGTTTGGAGGTCTGTGAATTTATGAGGAGTCTCAAGTAGGACATTTTCCAACATTAGCAATATTTATATTGATTTTTGGCGATGAATGCAAACTACATCTGAACTGGTTAACACGTTAATTAACACAGTGGTCAATAATGATCGACGCTAATAGCACTAGAATTACGAAACTGGTTAGTAAATTTTTATAACAATCATGAAAGTATTAGAACAATGCATTTTCTCAGATCTTTTACGACTTTTATTGCAATATGAAAGTGTAGAAATTATTTAATTTATAAATTTGTACGTTTTTAACAGTCTCTTGCGTTTATCTGTTTGATAGATATATACACTGTGAGTCCAAACTAACTATACACCTTACAAAGGTGAAGTTTGTGTAATACTTCAGTAGCATCTTAATGTTGTAATATCACGATAGTAATACAGTTAGATATGATGTTCTTGGCATTCTCGGGATGAATATATTCTTTTTTATTCATAGTACGATGGACAAATTTGGATATTAAAATATTTTTAAATCAAATTCAGTTACAAGTGCATTCATAGGTCTTTTAGTGAGATCTTGACTCAAAATATACAACAAAGGCGGTTAAAAACTGTTTGCTGGAAGACACTTTCAATTAGTTAAGTATATCTCCACAGTGACCAGATTTCAATGTAATAGAACATCTGTGCAAAGTATTAGATTCTAAATTGAGAGAAATAAATATGAATAAATCCTATATTTTTAAAGTGTGTGCTCACTTTTGACTCTAACTGCACAGATATACGTTCATCGTCGGTAGTTTTAGTGTTAAATTAGACGAAGAAACATTCAATATCTAAATAGAAAAATTCAACATTTTATAAATATAATTGGGAGTAGGGTAATAATGAAAATAAGTAATGTTCAATTCAACGTGTAAATATTTATATTGTTAATAAAACTATGGCATTCAACGTGTTAAACTCGTGAGCAACAGAATATTTCAATAATCTTTCATACTTCTTTAAATGATTGTGACAATGGCATGACATTTTCATTCCACGGTTGAAAGTTGAAAGTATAATTTTAATGTGTTGACACTAGAAAAACATTTTATAAGACATTCTCTTGATTCTGTATCCTATTTGACGAACGCAAACATCAGTTGTTTCATAAATTTTATATAAAGTAATACATACATTATTCCATCTTATATCTCAATCATTAAAAAGTGAACAGATGGAATGCGTAAGTACTACTCTATTTTATAGTTATCTGTTTATATCATGAAACATAAACTATAAAAGTTGCGTAAATTATATAACAGCGAACAATAATGAAACGTATAAAGGCGGTAAAACTGCAAACGTAAAACGAAAACATTATAAAATTATGACTTACTTTGGGAACTGGAGAGCATAGGCATTGAGTTACCGTGAAAGTTTCAATACTGCTTAAGTTACATACAATTTAAGATCGTGTAAACATATATATGTATATAGAGAGTTTGTACATTCATGCGATACGCTGTTAATTACCGGCTGATAGTACGTATGCAGTTTGAAGTTTAACTACCAGGCTGTTCGGTCGCGTAAGTACCAAAGAATATTCGCTATTCACCGCCATATGACCCCACATTAAATCTGTATTAATAGGGTAATTAGGTGGCCCTAATATCCCAGTTGCGGTGAAGTTCTCTTCCCGCAAAGAGGAGGATTTACTACAATAATAAGACTATACACGGTGGAGCGTAGCTCGTAATATGAGTGACATGAGAACGATCCTCGAGAGCAACCTGACAACGTGGATGAAAATTCTGTAAATCTCGAATCCTTGTACATTAAATCTTGTTATACATTATCTGTTTTACGAAAGAATGGTTACATACTTTAACTTTAATATATTGGACTGTCCCATAAGTCTGTGGCCATTTTCAACGAGTTTTATATTTATTTTGTATTTACGAAAATGTAATTTCTATTCTAAAATATTATCACCGTGATTATCCATAACAATCAGCTATCTGCTCGGCAAGTTTTGAATGCCCTTCTCCCAGAAAGATTGGGGCTGGGATGCAAAAAAATGAGCAACATACTTTTTGAGGGTGGTATAATTGTCAAATATTCTTGCCCAACAGATGTCGTTTAAGAGATCGAAACAAGTAAAACTCCGAAGATGCAGTGTCCGGGCTGCACAGTGGATGAAATACAGTGGACCATCCTGGCTCCTCAAGCTGCTCACACGTCAACTTTGCACAGTGAGGTCGAGCGTTATCATGAAGAAGCATGGACACCGAGTCGTTTTGACCGTCTTGTTCGCACGGCGTCCGCTAGCTTGGGGAGCTGGTTCCCTGTAACGGTTGACGTTGATCGCCTGGTTAGGCTCCAGGAGTTCCCAGAAGAGCATTCCCTGCGAATCCGAATAGATCGACAACAGATCATCAACTTCCAGCCGTGTTGAAGCCACAAGGCGTGGCATATGTCCTTTTCGTAGCATATCCAGCTTTCATCTCCAGTGATAATTTCCTTAAGAAAGTTCTGCCGGTGCTGGCGGAGCAAGAAATTTTGACCGGTCATGATCGGTCAACGCGTGAAGCGTCCATCGCGACATCACTTTGCGGTAGCCCATCGAATTAAGGTGGCAATCGATGCTTGTGCAGATTTGCCGAAGAGCATTCACCAAATCTCTCATACTGGAATCCGGGTGCAGCTCGAGTTCGCCGCGTAGAACGTCTTCGTCGAAGGTAGTTGTTGGTTTCCATACCTTATATCGTCCTCCTCGAGGCACTTATACCAGGAACGTACCGTCCGATCGCTACTAGTACCTGGTCCGAATGTAGCATTGATCTTCTTAGCCGTCTACCCGTTGAAGAGGTGTTAAGCCGGTGTTCATAGAGCATAATAGCTCGCAGTTGACGTTGTTCCGTCTTCGTTCTCTATTAATCTCCCTGTTACGCCCGCGCAAAATAATACCCATTGCGCGGAAAGTTTGCGCACATACTCGCATCTTCTGGAAACTCCTCGGACCTGTTTCGATTTGAAGATGAAAACGTTCGAAAAACAACCACCCTGCTAAGGACTTTTGAGACAGCCCAATAGTTTGCTTTCTTTGTATGTTGTAAAGATGACGTAAAATGTTGAAAAAGAATCATAAATATTGTTACAGAATCACGTGATTTTATTTTTTGTTTCTGGAAATAAATATTGAATTGGAAAAAAATAGTAAATGTCGATATTGCT